CAACCGCGCATCTGTGAGGGACACGACCTGCCATGCTGCCCCTCCCGAGACCCGACGCAAGCACTTCTCGTAGGCACTCAGCATCAGCGACGCTGCGAAACCAGGCCCACCGCGAGCAGCTTCCTCGGCGAACAACTTAGTGGCCCACTCCTCTGGTACTTGTTCGGGTGTGGCAGCACGGAGGGCAGCACCCAGTTTCTCCGCGCGTGGCTGTAGAGAAATATAAAGGTCGCTGTCCGCCGCAACACTGTGGCGAGCACGCTCTGCCAGAGCTGCGGCGTACATGCCGTCGTAACCAGCCGCGGGCACCTTGCCCAAGCACCCCACAAAGTCCACCGACCCTTTGTGAGTCTCTTGGCGTGTGAGATCGGTTCCCCCTGTTAGTCCCCCCAGGGGGCTCAAACGCTTTGAGCCCGATTCCCCCTCTGGTGCAAGGGAACATGTACATGGGCGCCCCATGCAAATGGGCGAAGGAACTTGCATGGCCCCCCATGCAAATCGCCAGTCGAACAGGCCAATCCCCCCCCAGTCAGGGGTCACACCGGCACGCCCCCGTGTGCATGAGCGCCCCATGAAAGCGGCCACCTAGACTGGCCAACCTCCTCGGGACAAACTCGCCAGGGGCCCGCGCCAAATTGCATGGGCGCCCAATGCAGACAGCCACCCAAACGGGCTAACCAGGGGTGGGGCGGGCTCACCCTGGGTCCGCGCCCATTTGCACGGCGCCCCATGCAAAGGGCGGCCGCCACGGGCCAACCCCCCAGGGGACTGGGCTCATCCGGGGTGGACCAGGCTCATCCGGGGCTCCTTTGAAGCCCCAAGACGGCCGTTGAAACGGACAAGAACGGGAAGGATCACTTTTATCTGTGAAGTATACTCTGTAGTTGGTCTGCCGGGCAAATATGTCGTGGCGCGAGTGCGTTTGCGCGTGCGCGTGCGTGCGTGGAATATGCGCGTGTGTGGTGGTCTGCGGCACTGCTGTGTTATGCCGTGCTGCTCTGCCGTGCTCCTGCGGTCTGCGTGAACGTATGTTGTCTCTCTGTGTGTGCGTGTGTGTATGTGTCTGTGTGTGCGTGCGCGTGTGCGTGTGCGTGTGCCTGTGTGCGTGTGCTTATGTGCGTGTGCCTGTGGGTGCGACTGTGTCAATAGATGTTATGTGTGTTCTGCCGTGCTCCTATGTATTCTGCCATGGTCCTGCTCTGCCGTGCTCCTGTGTACTCTGCCGTGCTCCTGTGTGTTCTGCCGTCCTCCTGTGTGTTCTGCCATGCTCCTGCTTGTTCTGCCGTGCTGCTGCTTGCTCTGCCGTGCTCCTATGTCTTTTGTGTGATATGCCGCGTTCCTGTGTGTTCTGCCGTGCTCCTGTGTGTGTTCTGCCGTGCTCCTATGTACTCTGTGTGTTCTGCTGTGCTCCTCGTGATCCTATGTGTTAAAGTTAAAGTTAAAGACGGGGCCTTAAAGGCAAGTGGCGGCCAGGACGCAGGCAGGGCCAGACGGGGCCCGCGTCCCCGAAAGAGGCCGAGCCCAGGCGGGCACCGAGGGCGGCGGAAGCCTACTCACCTATGGGAGCAGCAGGCGCAGCCACAACGATGCACTGGTTCACTCACTCACGGGCGGCACGCCACGGCGGGCAATGCGGCGGCGCACCCTGCGGTCCTCCAAGGCCCCGACCGCTGCCTGGGCTGCGGCTGCGAGCTCCTCTTCCGTGACTCCGAAGGCCCCGAGAAGGCCCGCTCTCGCCGCGACTGGACGCTGCAGCGGCTGGCTGGCGACGGCGGCCGCGGCGGGCGCGAGGGCGGGCTCCGCGCCTGGGCCCCCCGCCTCGGCGGGCGCCGCGGCCGCCGCGGAGGCGCTGCCTGCCGAGCTCGCCGCAGCTGAGGGGCCGACCTCTGGCTCCGCCGCGATGCCACGCCACTCCAGGCACTGCTCCTGCGCATGCTCTGGCAGTGGCCCCTGCAAGCGCAGAGCAGGGATGCCTTCTCCTTTCACTCTGTGCCTGGCGGTGCGGGACCCTTCTTGCCTCCTGCCACCTGGATGGAGCCCCCGAAGCCACAGGCTGCGCTGGTTCCTGCCACCTTTGTCGGCCTTGTCGCCTGGGCACCGCTCCTTGAAGCGAGGCCTCACGCCAGAGCGACCCCCCAACGTCATGTAGGCGCCGCACTTGGTGCACGCCACTAGCTCCTGGGTCCCGTCGCCCTCTCCCGTGCAGGCGTAGGCGAGGGCGTGTCCCAGGATGCTGAAGGCTGCAGCGCTGGCCGATAGGGCGGCTGTGCTGCTGCATGCCGAGCGGGCGCTCTCCAGGCGCGGCCGCTTGGCGCTCGGCGCTAGGCTAGCGGCCTCCTCTGCCGCCTGCGACGCCTCGGCAGCAGCGAAGCGAACCTGGCGCCGCTCCGCTGCAGGCGGCAGCCCTTCACAGTCCTTGGCCGCGATGTCCTGCCAGAGGGGGGCTGCCCGACTGATCCAGCGCCCGAGCTCCAGCATGATCTCCAACGCGTGGTGCTCGCCGACGGTCTGCCTGTCTACCGCGTGCATCAGGGCCCCCAGCTTGGCTAGGCGGTCAGCATGCTCGTTGCCGCGCCGCTGGGCCTCCGTTAGGCGCCCATCGAGCACTGCCTGCCTTGAGCAGTGGGCTGGCACCTTCTTCACCACGAAAGTTCCTGGCTCGAGGCATGCCAGGATCCTGCCCCACAGGTGGGCGTTGGCCCTGCTGGGCTTCGTCGCGTATGCACGTCCCCTGCGCAGGCAGGTCACGGTGGAGCTGCAGTCGATGTTGACTTCCTCAACTGCTGGCCCTGCAGAAGTGGCGAGCATTCACACCGCGAAGTCATCGCCGTCCTTGGCCGTCTGCTGCGGGCAGAGGTCTCGCCTGACGGTGCCGTAGACCACTGCGAACAGGTTGCCGTCGTCGCCACACTGTGCAATGGCTCCTCCCGCGCGGCGAAGAGCACTGAACTGCGGCTCGAGGGCCGAGCCGTCAAGGTACAGCTTGCCGTTGAGCTTCTCATCGGCTGGCCTGCGGACCCACTGCACCCACATGACGTCAGTGCGGCGACCCTGGGGCGGCGCTGGGGCAGGCAACCAGCAGCGAGCGAAGTTCTCGCCTGAGCACTCCCCGAGGGCCCGTACTCGCTCTGCACACCTCTTCAGCCGTGCGGACACTCCGTCGCGCCGCTGAGGCTCCAGCACGGGGCACTCGAACAGGCGGTGCCACAAGGTGCCTCTCTCAGCCCCACAGCGGCAGCAACACGCGTGCGTCCAGTGCGTGTTGGAGATGTAGGCCCCGATCGCATTCTGCTCCCTCGCGCTCAGCTCACTGTCTGGCCCAAGCAGCCGCCCGATGACGTCCCAGTGCAGGGGCCGCTGCAGGAGGGGGGGTCGTGGCTGAGCTTCCGCATTTCGTGGCGATCGGAGGCACGCCTGGCGCCGAGACCAGCCTCCAGGCCTAGCTCCCGAGGCCCGAGGAGCAGGAGGTCGAGCTCGTCGCCGAGGTCCGTGACGAGGTAGCGTTCGGACTTGAAGTGCCAGCCGATCCGCGCGAGGGTTAGCACCGCCGCATCGGTGGGGGAGGCACAGTGCTTCCACAGTGCGTCGGCAGCTGCGTGCCTGGCTGCCGCCGCCTCCAGCCCCCATGCCATCATCATGTGCGGCAGCTCGGCTGACTGCAGGAGGCTCGCAAGCATCTGGACCGCATGGCCAGCCGTGAGGACTGCAGGGTCCAGGTCACGCCTCCTCCTGAGCCCGGCGCATCGCATGCGAAGCCCAATCGCAGCGCCCATGGGGAGCGCCCCTGCGCTGCGGCATGCGGCGAGCCTCCAGCTGTGCAACTCACCGTCAGCGATGCCCGTGACTGTACGCCCCCACACCATACTAGCCGTGGGCCCAGCCTTGTGGATGAGGTCCACCTTCCACGCTTGCAGCGCGCAGGCAGCCCAGCCTGCGAGCGTGGCGAAGTGCACCAACAACTCGTACTCGGCCCTCATGCACTCCTCGCCTCGTGATGGTGGCGTCCGTGCCGAGGTTCCTGGCCTGCAAGGTCTTACGGAAGGTCCAGCCCTGCGTCTTCCAGAACTCGCCCAGCTGACGCCCAAGGCTGGGACTCGAGGCGAAGAAGGTAGTCTTGGCGGCACTGATGGGCAGGTGCTGGCTGCGGAGGATGCACGCCACTTCCAGCTTCCAGCCCAGCTGTGCCCAGCTGCGCAGCGACCAGACGCTCCGTGCCGACGGTTTGCAGCGCCATGTCGTCGACGACGTTGCGTGCAACCACCAGCGGCCTGCCTCCCGCAGAGGCAGCACGGAGGGCAACAAGCACGGGTAGCTTGGCCACCGTGGTCGCACACGCGCACCCTGCAAGGACCGTCCGAGGTGGTGAAGGACTCGGTGGCCATGCCCACGAAGCAAATGAATCGCGGGCTCTGGTAGAGCACGAGCAGGCCACGCAACAACTTCAGGTTGAAGCCGTGCTCGATCCCGCACTGCCACAGGACGTCGTGCCGCAGGTTCTCGTAGAACTTGGTGATGTCCAGAAAGAGGCTGGCGGCGGCAAACCCATTCTGCCGCGCAAAGGCGGCAAAGGCGTTGTGCAGCCAGCCCACCTTCTCGCACCCGCGGTCTGCCTTGCCCCAGAAGAAACGGTGGTCGTGCTCCGCCTCCCACAGCGCACAGATTGGCTGCCTCAGGCGGCTCCAGATGCGCATGAGCAGCGGGATCAGCGCAATCGGTCGGACCCCTCCGTCTGCCTTGGGAATGAAGACCATCATGGTGGCCTGGGCTCCCAAGGCCTGGGGTTGCTCCTCATATGCCTCCAAGAGGTCCAGGCATCGCAGCTGCAGGGCCACTGGGAGCAGCAGCAGCTGCCGCGGGTGGAGCTGGTCGGCCCCCAGGCCCGCCGTAGGCGAATAGCGCCTGCAGACAGCCTGCAGCATCTCCAGGCTGAGGGGAGGCAAGGTCGCGCCGTGGACGTCCCATCTGCCGACTCCAGCACCCGATTGGAAGCCCTCCTGCTGCTAGAGGGCTTGCCAGTTGGCCTCCAGCTGCCCGACTGCCAGCATGCCTGCCAAGGGTCTGCCTGTGTCGGGGTCGACCACCTGCGGGGGCGGCACAGCCTTGGCGAACCTATGGTCCAGCCTGCCACCCTTCTGCACCGCTTCCTTGGCCCATGCCCTCCAGGAGGCCGAGCTCTTGCATCCATCTCGCCTCTGGGAGCATGCGAGGCGCCGCTGCAGCACTGCAATCGCCTCTGGGTCTCCATGAAGGCCAGCTTGGCTAACGAGGTCGCCCCACTCACTAGTATCGAACTCGAGGGCCTCGACTTCGTCCTCCTCACAGGCTGCGACAGTGGCAGCCTCCACATCGGCGAGGACCCGCTCGACCTGCCGCTCGTACCAGGCCTCGTGCGCGGGCTGCCACCGCTTCGTCTTGTCCGCGGTGAGCCTCTGGAGAGCGACGTCGAGGGCCTGGCGGATGGCGTGGGTGAGGGCCGAGTGCCGGTGGCGGTACTCGCGCTTGACCACGGCGCTGAGGGGCTTGAGGACAACCTTGGGCCCTGCAGACCGCCCCAGGTACCTGGGCAGGTCGCCGTCGTCAATGCCGTGGATCCCCACCAAGGTGCTCTCAACGACCTGGATCCACTGCCGAGCGGCCTCGCAGGCGTCGCTCGTCTGGGGGCCAAACTCCCAGGTCAAGCTGCAGGGCTCCACTTGCCAACGGGTGCGCCCCACGCGGCGGTGTACCTGCACTGCAGCATCCGGCAAGCAGCTGCGTCGACATCAGGAAAGCGACCTGGACGAACCAGCACCTGCACCAAGGCGTCTGGTCTCACGTCCTGCAGCAGCAGCCTCACGGGCTTGTGGGGGTACAGCCCAAAGCCATCCAGAGCTGAGGCCTCTCTGACGCCATGGGCCAGGCAGAAGGAGCCCATGTACCAGTCGTACACATGCTCAGCGCCTTGGGCCACGCATGTGCACTCGGCAGGCCCCAGGTACGTGCCGCGCTGCACCCGAGGCCAGCCCAATTCGTGCAGCGTGCCTGGCTCCATGTTAAAGTCGCCCTGCGCGAGCCAGGGCATGCCGTCGGACAGCGCCATGTCGCCGAAGGCCGCGAAGATGTCGAGGTTGATGCCCTTGGGCCCCAGGGCGTCCTGCAGATACAGCGAGCACGCCAGGAACTGCAGCCCTGACGCCGCGGTGATTGTGACCCCAATCATGCGATGCCTCAAGTCACTCGGCGCCATCCACGCACTCTCCGCTACCTGCAGGTCGCTGCGCACCAGGGTGGCCACGCCGCCTGAGTTCGCAAGCAGGCCTTCCTTGTCCGTGGGCGCTGCTGCGTGGAGGAAAGCCGTATACCCCATGCGGCGCGCTGCGCTTCTGGCTTCCTCCAGGCGGTGCGGGGCCAGGCGGGTCTCCTGGAGCATTACCAAGTGCGGCAGGGCGCCGTGCCGAGAGGCGAAGGCCTCGGCGACCTCCAGGCTCCTCCTCCACGTGTTGCCGTTGACCCCGAGCACCTCCAGCCCGCATCGGACCTCCAGAGCTGCCGCTGTCGCTTGGCCTGGCGCCTGCGGGCCCTGGGCCCTCCCGGGGTCGAGGGGCCGCTCGCCTCCAATGCGGGCCGCGTCGGCGCCCCCGCCCGCGCGCTGCCTCGGCTCAGACGCTCTGGTGCTGCTGAATGCACGACTGCCCTGACCTCGAACCTCCGCTGCAACTCCTGGCTGCGGGCCCAGCAGGGCGAGGAGCAAGAGGGGCCAGGTCAGCAGCCACGGCCACCAGCTCCCGCTTGAACGCCTGGGCGACCTTCGGCCACTCGCCGCGGGCGTCACCGCGGCGCTCTGCCCGGCCGCGCTCCGTAGCGCTCTGCGGCTGCCAGGGCTCGGTCGCTCCTGCGTGGAGGCCGTCCTCGCTGCTGACCTCCTCCATGGGGCGTGACTCCGCCCATGGCGCCCTCCTTGGTGCAGCAGGGGCTTGGGCGAGCAGCGTGCGCACGGCCTCCACCTGGGTACGAATGGCCGCCCAAGCCACCTCGAAGTTGCTGGATCCCCAAGCCTCAGGCAGCTTGTCCAACTGCACGAAGGGCCCAGGGACATCGCTGGGCCCTGCCCACTCCGCTGCCCGCTGACGCCGCTGCGCCTCGGCCTCGGCACGGGCGTCCTCCTCGAGGGCGCGGACAGCACGGGGTGCCTCCTCCAAGTCTGCGTCGAGCTGCGCCAGCTCCTGCTGGGCCTTCTGGAGCTGGGCCTCGGCGAGGTCGCGCGCCGCCTGTTTCTGCTCCAGGCGCTGGCGCGCGGCGCGGAGCCGCCTCTCTCACTTGCTGATGGCGTTCGCCTCCTTGTGGAGCAGCGCTGACCGCGGCAGGGAGGACGCCTTCTGCCCCGCTGCTGCCCGCTGGGCAGCGCCCAGCTTGGCGCGCTTGGCCTCCAGCTGGCTGGCGACGACGTCGGTGAAGCAGCTGTCCACGCCGTCGGGCGGCTCCGCCTGCAGCGCCTCCAGCTGCTCGACCGCTGCCTGCAGCCTCTCGATCGCCGCGGCGCCGCTGCCGCTGGGCGCCCCGCTGTCGCCCGACGCCGAGGTCTGCGACTCGGTGGATGCCGCGCTCGCAGCCGCACCGCGGGCCTGCCTCTGGGCACGGCGCCCTCGTGGCTGGTCCACCCAGCCGTCCTTGTCCGCCTGGGGCCTGGCCCTGGCAGCAGCAGCATCCAGCGCCCAAGGCGGTGCCGCGTAGCCGCAGCCGAGGCACGTGGTACGCCAGTCCCAGTTCCAGCCACCGCAGCTGCACACCCAATACGTCTTGCTGCGCCTGCTGCCACCACCGCCGCAGCGCACGGGGCGCACCATGGCCACTGCCGCACTGGCCGACAGGATGCGCCTCCGCGCGGGGACAACAGGGAGCGAGACAACGAATTGCACTGGCCCAAAGCGAGGAGACCCTCGCGCTCAAAACGCCGCGGACGACTTGCGGTCGTCGAGTGCTCCATGGCCTTGAGCCAAAATGGCTACGGATTGATCCTATGTGTTCTGCCGTGCTCCTATGTGTTCTGCCGTTCTGCTGCGTGTTCTGCCGTCAATTCTGCCGTGCACAAATGTGTTATACCATGCTCCTCTGTGTACTGCCGTGCTCCTGCGTGTTCTGCCGCGCTCCTGCTTGTTCTGCCGTGCTCCTATGTGTTTTGTGTGATCTGCCGTGTACCTATGTGTTCTGCCATGCTCCTGTGTGTTCTGCTGCGCTCCTGCTTGTTCAGCCGTGCTCTGCCGTGCTCCTCCTGCTCCTGTGTTCTGCCGTGCTCATGTGTGTGCTGTGTGTTCTGCCTGCACCTGCGTATTCTGTGTGCTCTGCCGTGCTCCTGTGTGTTTTGCCGTGTTCCTGTGTGTGTGTGTGTGCTGCGCGTTCTGCCGTGCACCTGCATATTCTGTGTGTTCTGCCGTGCTCCTCGTGCTCCTGTGTGTTCTGCTGTGTTTTTGCGTGCTCTGATGTGTTCCTGTTTGTTCTGCCGTGTTCCCGTGTGTTCTTTGGGTTCCGCCGTGTTCCTATGTGGTCTGCCGTGCTCCTGTGTGTTCAGCCTTGCTCTCGCGCGTTCTGCCGTGCCTATGCGTGTTGGGCTGCGGTGATCCTGCCCATTTTCTGAGGATGCCTCGGGCGAGAAGGTAAATTTTAACATGCGTTGACGCGGCGGCGCGCGCGGAGGAGGAGAGGAGAGGGGTCGCTTTACCTGCGCTCGGGACCGAAAGGGCTGCAGTGCAATGCAACGTGTTTCTGATGCTACCCCTGCTACTGCTACCTGCTCCTACCTACTAACCCCTACAGTTACACAGATCATGCTATGGTGCTATGGGTCTCAACACCCCTCCACTCTGCCGAGACCTTGCTGTCTGGCCAGAGCCTGTACCTAGCATGACCTAGGCAAGAAGCGTCTTAAGAGTGCCCCCGGCCTCTCTGCGGAGTCAGGCTCCGCTGGGGCGGTCGGCTTGTGCGGGGCGGCTCCCGGAGCCGCGCTTCACTGTCAAGGTGGCGGATGCACGATCCGCTCAGTGCCAGTCCCTGCCTTTCCGGCTCGCTCAGTGTCCAGAGAGAGTTGATCAGACTCCAGCCTCCTGTAGACACCTCCCCATCTGTCAAGTCCATGAGCAGATGGCCCGCTAAATCCATAGACGGGGCTTCGTTTCAGTAACTGTGTACACAAGTCGTACTGTTTGTCTACTTACTGCGTACCCGTACCCCTTGCACGGACATACGGCGTGCTCACGGCACACTCCACCCGGCAGCTCCTAGCAGCCAGGCTTGCCAGCACCCGCTGGCGTAGCGCATGCATGGGGAGTCCACCACCATAGCCATGCGTGTTGGTACTGTGGGATTGCGGCAGGCTTCTGCTGCCTTCCCGGTCGCCGCGCTGCCGGCTAGGCGTGCGCAGCGTCCTCGCGCGCGGAGTCAAGCCCCGCTGTCGGTCGCGGACTCAGGGTCCACTGCTAGGTGTTGCTTGCGGACTCAGGGCCCACTACCTGCACGGGTTCAGCATCGCCAGAAACGACGCAACCCTGCCTGAGCTCAAGCCCTTCTTCCTTTCGCTCCTCAAGGGCTCGTTCCTCCTCAGTGGCACCATGTCTACTAGCTGCTGTAGCCGAGCCTGTGCATGTGCCTTCGTACCAAGGTCTGCCCAATTGACCTCCGTGTCAACTTTCTTCAGGTTACCGCGGTTGTCACGGAAGACTGACTGCACCCAGAGGTCTTTCGCGGACAGGTGCCTCACCTTGCCACTCCCTTGCCGGTTGCAGATTCCCCGCGCTGCTGACGAGTCGCTCAGCACATCTAGCTTGCACTCGCGGCCAACGAAGGATTCAATCACCTGGCTTGTCTGCGCGCCCTGTGCTGCTCCTTTGATGATGGCATAGAACTCTGCCCCCCCGCTCGAGAGAGCCAGGAGAGACTGTTTCGACACGCTTACATCAATCAAATGTTTCCCGAAGCTCTCGACCACACAACTCACGCTCTTCCTCGTCTCTCGGTCTGCTGCCCAGTCTGAGTCGCAGTACTCCGTGAGAAGTAAAGGTATTTTCTGGTAGTCGAAGAGCCGCACTTCCCCTGGGTGGTCCAACAGGTGCCGGCTGCAGCGTGCCAGCCTCATCTGGTGAATCTTGAGAGGCGCCGTCATCCCCTTGATGATCCCAGAGGCTGCAAACTTTACCGTGGGCGTGTCCTCTGCGAGGTACTGTAGGGACCCCATCGCCTCTCCTCCTCCGCTCGTCCCTCCCAAAGGGATCGTGGGCGTCTCTGTCGCCCTTCCCGGTGTCTTTGGACGCTGGCGTGCTCACACCCTTGGACACTCCCGGTGTAAGGCCCTGGAGCTCGACGAGATCAAGGATGTGCTGCGGGTTGCACTCCCGCTCAAAACCGGACGTGGCCCAGCGGATCGTCCTCTCCAGGTGGCTTCTGGTCGCCGCCTGTCCGCCGAACTCCGGGGGGCCGATTCGAGGCAAGATCTTCACTCTGAAGTGCTTGCGCATGATGCTGTCGACCTGGTCTAACGAATCGCTCTCGCCTTCTGCAAGAAAACCGTCGCCGTGACAACCCATGGACGCATCCAGTGCTCTGCGAAAGAATGCCACGGGAACAACAACAACAACAAGTTCGAAACCTTCCGAAGTTAAAGCGTGGATCACGTACTGGCCAGAGCGTTTCGAAGCTTCTCTCGTGCCATACATGGCTTTCAGCAACAACCACACGTATCCTTCTCTGCGGACGTCTGGCGGTGGGATGACTGCCGTCGCGCCGTCGCTGTCTGCGTGGAAGGAAGCAACCGAGACATCGTGCCCAGCCACGAGCCTAGACCATGACCCGTCCGCCCTCTGCTTGGACGCGGCCAACGCCACAATGATCCGGAAGACTTTCACCGGAGGTGTGCTTTGTGTCGCGTCCTCGCGCGCATACGTGTTGACCTCTGTTGCTACCAGCCTGGCCCGTACCGCCTCCGGGCCTTCAGCTGTCGGTTTGGGTTCAAGCAGCCACTTCGAGTTGACAACTTATAGTTTTCTTTCTCTGGCTGTGGACCATGGGATGTCCTCCTTCACCTTGTAGGCTTCTATTTGGGTCATCTCGCGGATCTTACCCCCAGCACTTTCTGGGGGTCCAGTTTGATGCCTGCTTTCGTGGAGAAGAAATCTTTGTCCCACTCCATCTGTACAGGGCTTACTTGTGGGTCGCTGCTGTCGGCATCAGGTGCCGCTGCCAGAAAACACACGCACGTCCCAAAAGCAGCTGCCACTACAGCTGGCTCGTGGAGAGTCGGCAGGCCGGCGACTAGCCGGGGCCTCTTCGACTGGGAGTCCTCCTGTGGCTCCCCCTCCATTTCGACGTCGCGGGCGTCCTCCTGACCTACGCGTGCTTCCCCCATCTGCACGTCTGGCGGTGCAGCCTGGTGTTGCCCCTCCACAGCTTGCTGTTGCTTTTGCTGTTGCTGTTGCTGGCTTGCGTGCGCACCGCCTGGCTGTGCAGCAGCAGGAGGCCGGTGTGCTTGAGCAGCGTGCGCTGCTGGCTGTGCGGCATCAGGTGCCGCTACACGTTGTACGGCATCAGGTGCCGCTGCTGGCTGCGCGGTATCAAGTGCCGCTGGTTGCGCTTCCTGCCTCCGATTGGCGGCGTCTTCCTTTTCAGCTCCTACGAGCTTGCCGAACCTCTCGCGGCACTCAGCTGTGTGCCTCGCCTCTCCTGGCGCACGACAGCCAAGGCAACCGGGTGTTTTGCCGAGGCGGACGATCCGGTCGAGGGTGATGTACACCTCACGGGGCTTGACTTCCTTGACTCCTGGGGGCACCGGGGCCCAAGGAGAGCCGACGAATCGGTCAAGCAGCTGCGCGTCCCACCTGTCCTTCTCTGGCCTCCTCCATATCGACCTGCGCAACAGCACTCCCTTGGCAGTGCCAACCAGGTGCTCGTCTGATCGCATGGATTTCCCGAGCCAGACACCAAGGTGCCAGCGGTCGTCCGCTTTGCCCACTTCGCTAAGAGGACTCTTGTGGTAGACGCACTCCCCGAACTCGACAATCTCGCCGTTGTATGGGTTGTATGGCTTGCCGCGCAGGCGCTCGCACGGCGTCTTGCCGTCTGCCTTGACGAGAAAACGGACGATGAGCCAACTCGAGTGTCTCACAAGCCAGGGCTGCACCTTGTGGTTGAGCGGGGACGCCTGCTTGTAGACGGACTCCAGCCTGTGCTTCACGGCCCTGTACTCCTTCTCAACCTCGTAATTGCTGCGCTCAATCAGCCCTGCGCTCTGACTACTGCCCTTCGGTGCGTTCACCTTCGTGACAGTATGTCCGGAAGGCCGGGTTTCCAGAAACTTGTCGCACAGCTTGTTGATAGCGTTCTCGCCATCACAACATGCAATCAAGTTTGTCCTGCCTGCGAAGCGCACTCCTTCGTGGGCGATTGCCAACGCGTGGTCGTCGCCACCCTTTTGGTTGACCATGCCTGAAAACGGGGCGCCGGACTTCGCGCCCAGCACGTTCAACACAGCGTACATCTCCTTCTCCACCGCCTTCTGCGTGAGGAAAAAATAATCCATGCACACTTTCGGCGTTGCTCCGTCGGGGGCCTGCTCAAGCTGCCGGTGGGGGTCTTCGGCGGCCTTGCCTGTGACGCAGCTTTCACACCGCGACCTGAACGGCAGATGGGTTAGCTGGTGCGCGTCCCACTCCGCCTTGCTCACAGTTGGTGGTATGGCTTTTGCTCGCGGCGCCCGTGGCTCCTCCGAGTCTGGCATCAGCGTAGGCGGCCGTTGGTCAGGCAGCGCCGGGTCTGGGCGCATAGCGCCGGACGCGCTCGAGGACGACCCTCCTTGTTGCACGTTCGGCCTCGGGGCCTCCCCTTGCGCTGCTGGTTGCGCGGCATCAGGTGCCTCTGGTTGTTGTTCAGCCGGGGTGGGCGTTTTCCTTGCTGCCTTCCCTGGGCAGGGCTGCCTCGCCTCTTCCTGCCCTGTCGCCCCCCACACTTCCAGCCAGTGCACCCCCCTATCCTTTACCATGTCCAATCCGCTCGATTGGCGCACGGCTTCCTTGAGGTGCTCGGCGTGGTCTGGCCCTATGATTCGCTGTACCCCAGGGCCAAATACCAGCCAGTTGCCTTCCTCGGTCGACTCTGGCGCCGAGACGACAGGAACCGTGACCTTGTCGCTGTCACTGTGCAGCAAGACAACGCCACTGCCGTCGTTTGCCTGGAAGTGAGACCTCTTCCCGTCCGAAAGGTTCACTTCTTCCCCCGTCGCCGTCGTCAGCGCGGTTGGTTTGACAGAGCTGTCCGGCTCTGCCCCGGGGTCAAAACCAGCCGGATACACGGACCTGCCAGCGCCTGTGTCGACCATGACTCTCTGAGGCATGGGGGCCAGCATTTCGCCGGAGTCGCTCGGTGAGCATAATGGCATCAAGTACCCATGCTGCACCCCCTCCTGCCCGATCTGCACGAGACCGGCCACCGGTTGCACCGTAGGCGGGGGTCCTGCACCGCCCTGCTGCGCGGCCTCAGGGGCCGCTGCTAGCCTAGCCTGGTTGTCCCTCGCCTTCTTCCTGCACTCCGCGGCGATGTGCCCCTTCTTGTGGCAGTAGAAGCACTCCTTCTCCTTGTTGGCTTCCGCCTTTGCCTTGGCCTTCGGGGCCCCTTGGTGTCCTTTCCTTTCCCTTTCCGTGGATCGCCTCCTTTTCCTTCCCCCTTCCTACTTTTACCTTCACCTTTACCCTTACCATCCCCCTTCTTGCCCTTTCCTCTTTGTAGTATGGCGCCTAGCTCCATAGATTTGGGCCAGGAGTTCAGGTACTGCGTGGTTCGCGCCATGTCGAGCAGCTCCTCCTTCATGGCCTTCCAGGTGTCCAACCTGCTTGCGTTCTTCACAAGGTGTTGTTGGACGTCGGTGTCCTGCATGTTGACCACCACCAGGCCAATCTTAAGATCTTCGTCGCAGACCTTTTTCGACTGCTGCTCGTACTCACGGATCAGATGTTCAAACTGATCTAAGCTCTGCGGGATGTCCCCGCTGAACGTCGCGGTGAGTATCCTGATCAGCAACCCGACCCCCCTCGTGCGGATCTTGGGGTCCCAGTCAAGGACCGACTGTCTCCATGCCTCCAGTCCCTCTCCGGAGGACACAGTGGACATTTTGTCCTGGGCTGCTGAGCGGAACAGCATTACCATCAAGTAGTAAAGCTGCGAACTTAGTGACGCCTTCCACGGCTGGTCAAGGTCTACGTTCCTGATCACCACCTCCGAAGCCTCCGCTTCGTCCAACAACGCCGGTACTTTGCATCTATCGCTGCTAAGTAAGCTCGAAAGATAAAAGCCCAGTCGCTCCATTTTGCACGCTCCCCGTAGAACAGCTCTGGTTTGCCGATGAGGCGAGTGTCTACAGCAGGCTGAAGCTGCACGAGAGGCTGCGCTGGCTGCGCTAGCTGCGGCGCCGGCGCCGCCCTCAGCTGTTGAACAGTGGCAACGAGCTCACGGATCTGCTGGTCTTGCTGACGCAGCTGTTCCCTTTATCTGATCTTGTACAGTCGCCATGGTGCCGCGTCCTGCCACCTGCGCGATGGCCTGCTCCTCGAGCGAGAGCGGCGCCGCGCTGCGCGCTCCTGCGCTGCCGACGGTCGCGGCCTCTGCGGGGCCGCCGACGGTGCACGACGGCTTGTGTCAGCCGCTGTGGCACCCCGGCGCTCGGGACAGCTTGGCTGCCCTCGCTCGGCCGCCTCGCGCTGCCGCTGGGGCGCGACGGGCGGCCTGGGGCGGCTTGGAACAGCCGCTGAGCTCGCAGCGCTGCGCTGCGAGTGGCCCGGTGGCGCCCCGTCGGTGCCCTGGAGACGCTGCTCGCGCCAAACCTTGCTGTCCTCTGGTTCAGCAAGCGCGCAGGAGATCACCTCCAGCTCCTCGAGCAAGCGGCTGAGCTCCCGCTGTTCGCGGTCGTTGGCCTCTCCGGCGTCCTGTCGCGCCTGGAGTTCCTGTCGCCTGTCCAGGAGCGGCTTGGCCTTCTCGAAAAGTTCGTCGCCGCCCAACAGCAGCAACTCGAGGGCGCGACTGTGGCTGTTGTCGAACCACTCGCGCTTGCTGGCACACAACGCCCACTGGCGGCCAGGCCCAGGATCGACTCCGCGAGTCTGTCCGGAGCTGTCGGTGACCAGCTTCGGCGCCTCGCCTGCGACCTTCCGCCTGTAGGGTTCCCAGAGAGCCTCCAAGTGCTCGCGGCGCTCTGTCGCTGTCGGGAGCACGTCCAAGGTCAGACCTAGAGACCCCCTCTGCCTGGCGCCCAGCTCGTTGCACAAACCCTCTCTGAGTGCAGGGTCCTTGTGCTTCAGCCGGAGTCTGAGCTTCCGCCAGCTCGTCCGCAGCTCGTGGGACTCCTTGCTCCTCACTCGTCTGTTGTTGGGGTTTCCCTGACCCCGTGCTGGTCTCACCGTGACCGGCTGTGGAAGGCTCTCGCGCCCTCCGGACGGCCCGCCCTGTGCCGGCGGGCTGGGCGCCCTGGGGCCCTGGGGGAGCGGGAAGGGCGGGCGGTCCGCCGAGGTGGTGGCCCAGGAGGCGGCCTGGGTCTGGGTGGTGCTGTCCCCGCGCCGGGGGAGGGCTCAGGGCCCACTGGGGAAGCGGCCTGGCGGGCCGTTGTCAGCAGCCGCGCCCCGCTGCCATGACGCGGCGGCGCGCGCGGAGGAAGAGAGGAGAGGGGCCCCTTTACCTGCGCTCGGGACCGAAAGGGCCGCAGTGCAATGCAACATGCTTCTGATGCTACCCCTGCTGCTGCTACCTGCTCCTACCTACTACCCCTTACAGTTACACAGGCCATGCTATGGGTCTCACCATGTGTGGTTTTCAAATCAGCCGTTTGAGCATCTCATTATGTCGAGGATGTCTCAGGCGGTATCCCCATTCCCACACGTCTGTTAAATTCGCGGTTGTCATTTTCTGGTGGACGTCTTAAGCGACATGGTTTTTGTGAAAGACGGCGTTGCGAGCAACTCATGCTTGTAGGATGTATCAAGCGACGTGCGCATTTTTAGGAATCTCGAGGGCGCTCTTGGGGTCATATTGAGGCTCGCGTGGGGCTCGTCCGGGGCCGTTTCGATCCCATCACAAACGATGCCAATGCGATGTCACACGTTAATCCGAGGATGTCCCACCCCACCCCACCCTCCCCCCTCGGCGCTGGCGCCTGCGCTGGCGGCCGCCAGCAGCGCGCGCGGCGGGGGCGCAGCGACGACGTCCAGAGGCAGCTCAGGGGAGGGGGGAGAGGGGGTTCAACCCCCCCCCTTCCAAAAGGGGGGGGGGGTCAAACCCCCCCCCCTCGGCGCTGGCGCTGGTAGTGGCCAGCAGCGCCGGCGCTGGCGCCGGCGACGGCGGCGACGCAGCGACGATTACCACCACTACAACCACCGCCACCACTACCGACACCAGCGCCGCCTCAACCCACCACCACCACCACCGCCACTAACAAGACCGCACAACCACCGCCACCACCACCACCACAACCACCACCGCAACCACCACCGCAACTCACCATCACCACCACCACAAAAACCCACCACCACTACCGTCTCCGTCTCCGCCCCCCGCTCGATGGCCGCCGCGAGCGACCGCGGGGCGGGCCGGTAGGCCTTCAAGAATCCTAAACCGGAGGGGGGGACGACGAGGAAAGGTGAGGGGAGGTCGCTTCCGGTGAGACGCCGGAAGCCGGGGGGGGGGAGGGGGGGGAACGACGTGGTCAAGACCAGACGGTGATCCAATAGACACGCCAAACATCATTGCGAATATGGGGTAGGGAGGGAAGTCTTTCCTCTGAGAATCGGGGTAAGATGACAAAGGAATGAAGATCTCATGTTCACTCTGCTCAGGGAGAGCGGAGGCGGGATGAGTCATTGATAAGACAGATATCCGTTAGGCTAAACCACTCTATCAGGAATAGGAAGGGAGGAGGGAGGCCGAGGACGGACGACGACGAATCGCCCGCGCGCCCCAGCGCGCTCCTTTTCTCTCCTGCCAGCCGAGGTCGGCTGGTTTGAGCAGTTATACAGCTGCAGAAACGCAGCATCAGTTCACGCGGACAGTTCACTGCACGCAATCTAAGTTATGTTCCAATTGAGTATGGGGCGGAGAAGAGCACATTAACTCCCCCCGCGGCGGGCCGCGTAGAGCCCATCCAGCCACAGCACCCCCGGCCTGTACATTTGCACAGCCACCGGAGCCAACCCCAAGAAGCTTTTACGGCTCAACGGTGGCTGCCAGGGGGCCAAGGGCCGAAGAGGCTCGACGTTTCCCACCATAGATATAAATAGTTTCTCCCCGCTGGACCGGCTTAGCCGACCAGTAGAGAGGTCCGCGCCCAGCACGCTTAGCGCGTGATTAAAGTGTTTGGCGTGCGCATGCCGCGGACGGAGTCACGCGGGCCGCGCTCAGTTGAGGCCCCCCTACGGATTCCACGAACTCTCTCGCCTTGGCGGCGCCGGAGGCGGCGGGTTTGAAGTCACCGATCCTCCCGTCTGTGCGTCCATGCCACGAGGCGTGCGAGACCGCCCTCTCTCTCTGTCATTAGTTCCAACCTGTGCCGCCTCTCTCGGCGGGAAATGATGATTATGCTCCCACTTTGACAGCCGGGTCCAGTAAGGCAAATTGTACCACTCGTCGTTATTAGGCCACGTGACCCTGTTCCGATGGAGGTGATATCCAACAAGGATTCCATTCACGCGGGTCGGGTAGGACTGGTCGGGGTCGTATGTGGAGCCGCGTCCTGCGGCGCTGCTTGCAGCATCCGAGGCAGCGCCTGTGGCAGCGTCCGCCGCCGCGGGCAGCGCAAGGCCGGCGGCATCATCGGCGGCCGCGGCAGAGGCATCATCCATGGCTGCATCGCGCGCGCGTCGCAAATCCGACCGATCCCTCGTGTTGGGATCTTGTAAGTTAGCGTCTCTGGTCGGCACGGCTGAGCCGGCGACAGAACGTGGGGAACCAGTAGCCTCCTCAGACGCCTGAGCATCTGAGATGCCAGGTCGAAGAGACGGCGTGCGAGACAAAGGTCTTGCCTTTGGTCCAGCAGGCGCACGTGGCCCCACGATCTCGGCTTCGCCGTCGTGCTCAGGGTCATTATCCCTACCGTTCATAAATTGCAATATACTTCTGGCAGCAGTTGCTGCAGCGACACCATATAGGCCGCATGCAGTGCGGAAAGGACCATCTTCCTTGCCCTGAAGATCGGTACCGGGGTCAGGATACTTATCCTGTAGCCAAGCTATGGCCTCTTGTATTATAGCACCGTGGCGACGGACGTCATTCTGTACTTTCCTGCCCATCTTGTGGGCCCATGTTTCTATAATGTCGTCTGTCTCAACAGCCGCGCGAATTCGGCAGTCCAAGGCATATGCGTCTGTTCGTTTCTTTGATTAAATTTCCTCCGTGCTCATCATTTCGGGACGAGTGATCCGCCCCGGGTCACCAATAAAGTGGTCCTCCGAAGTGAAGTAGCTGATTATCTCACGAATAATTGCGAAAATCCTTATGGGTCGAAGGCCCAGTTCCATGTTTTGTGTTGTTACTAACCAATTGTCATCCACTATTTTCTTGATGATCGCCGGGATCGCATAGTCTTCCGTTCCAGTCAGGGTAACCCTGCCGGGTGTAGTAGGGTTTATTCCCGCGTGTTCAATTATGTAATGGGCGGCACCTCTCGAGCTTCGTCCCCGAACAATCTTATTTTAATCAGACGGTCTTTTTTTTGATGAAAGTACACGTGTCCCTCAGGTTCGTCAAGTGCGAGACGTCCGTCAGTTATCGACGCGGCCTCAGGCCCGCTGATTACTTTGAGGTCCAGATCCATTAGTGTCTGTTCCCGTGCCCTCGCGGCTGAGCCGGAGGCATGTCGCAACACGGGAACTATAAAACGATGGTCCCGACACATGCCGACCCGTCTTGCAACGGAGTGAGAACTGCGAGTCGGTCGCGCTCTACAGTTGTTCTCCCAGGCGACCGGTAACCTCGCAGGAGGGTTGTCGTTGTTGGCGTTGTTTCCAGTATCTTCAGGAAATACGCCGAACCATGACATGTCAAGATTCATGGCGTCATCTACTGTGGCGAGTGTAGGAACAAAGAGGTTTGCTCTCCTCATGTTGTTGAACCATTGTGCCCAGCCAATCCTAGGTGTGATCTAGTCATCTGGTTCATCAGGCCATTGAAATGCCTGTAGTGCTGGGCAGGATCTGGGGCGAGCGTACTGATCAAAACCTGTCGCCCACAATTTTGGCCACCATTTGTTAATAGGCGGGGTTCGCCTGTGTACATTTGTGGCCGAATATTCTAGCCACGATATAAATCTCTTGACCAAAGGCCTTAAGTATTCAAAGAAAGGAGCATGTCGCGCCGGAGGCTGAGCCTCGGCGTTCTCTGGGATCCAAGCTGGAAAATGCCCCTGCTGGCTGTTGCCAAA